TCTCATTACGTCTACTGTTGTAGCAGCATTCCATCAATTCCAGGTTCTCTTGTCTTGTCCATGTATGGTTTGTTAAGTCTGGCCTTAAATATTCAAAAGCTACAAACACACACACACACACACACACATATGCCATGGGTTCTTTACTTTGCAGCTGTAAGGCATATTAACATCAAACGAAGTTGACATTTGTCATTCACTTATGAAGTTTAATCTACCTGAAAAGTATCTGAAAAGACTATGCAGTACAGATAACTGCAAATATATAATACTAGCTGTATTAGGAAAGACAGAAAGAATTTACAATGGGGAGAAAATGTGTTAAAGAACTGGAGAAATTGACATGTCAAAGAATGAAAGAAGGGCAATTTGCATTTTAAAAAGATTCTCAAGCAATTTATATTCAGTAACATAAATTAAAGGAAGATAGGCACAAAGGCTCCATATGTTAGAAAATATGGTGCAAGTACAACACTGATAATCTCTTGGATCACAGGACATTTTTGAATTTCAAGAGCATGTGGTAGATGCATTCTTGGTTGGCTGGTTACCTGTTTGCTTTTGGGTCCAATTCGAGGTGCTGCTTTTGATCTTTAAAACCCTACATGGCATGGGGCCGGGTTATCTGAGGGACCGCCTCTCCCCAGTTACATGCACCCGTTCCATCAGGTCTAGCAGGAGAGGCATATTGCGGGTCCCCTCTGTCAAGGAGTTGCATCTGGAGGGGTCCAGGAGACAATCCTTTTCTGCCATGGCACTCACCCTGTGGAACATCATCCCCTCCAAGAGGTGAGGTAAGCCCCAATCCTTGTGGCCTTCCAAAAATCCCTTAAAACATGATTTTTCACCAGGCCTGGGGATCCCCTGGTAACAGGCAGCCTCTGCACTGGTTGCATCATGTGTAACATCTTGATGTATTCCCCTCTCATGATCTTGTTTTTATTTATGTTTTAATCTGGTTTTGTAAAATGTTTGATTGTTGGTTTTATTGTACGCCAGCCAGAGTTGCTTTGTGCAAGA